GGGCTGTTTACATTCTCCAGCATCTCGCAATAGCTTCTTCCCCACCTAGGGTTGAAGTTAATTACGCTGCAAAAGTCTCCTGAGGTGGGAAAGCAAGTGTGCTACTTTGTTACGATTAAACACTCAGGTCATAAGCACACGTTCTGGTCAACTGAGAAGAGCTCTGATGCTTTCTCACCTCTCAACCGCACCCTACTGTCCACCCCATCATGATCACCTTCCGAAGACGACAGTGGCTCCAGAGACCCTGGCTCAACACTGAACGGCCCGAGCCGCAGACCCGCAAGGCGCTGGAGGATGCATCTGCTCTCGTAGCCCCCACGACCGGGAGCAGCCAGGGCTCCTCGCCCCGAGAGGCAGGAAGAGCGGAGCCATATGGTTCCACTCACACTGAGGGGCTGCAGAGCAGTCTTTTGGGGAAAATGGTTTAAGGCTCTTACAAAAAGAGATCTTCTCTTTGGGAAGAAGTTGACAGAATGTACCGCAAATTCAGAAACAGGGACAACCCTGCGCGTGCCGACGCCAACTCTGTTCCATCCCTGAGGGGGCAGGCGGACAGCTTCTCAAGGTCACGTTTTAGGGGCCACAGAGTTTAGCAAAACTAGTTCTAGACCGAAAACGAGTCCCGGGTTGTAGTACCAGTGAAGCCATTAGCATCCTTTCTGACCACTGGTGAGCTACTTAACCTTCTCCAAATTCATTTTCTCTTTCTGTAAACTAGTATCAGTAACCGCAGAGACGGCGCTCCTAAGCAGAATTCCGGGTGAAAAGTCCCGCAGCAGGATGCGCTCCAGCACTGCTCTCAACGCTGCTCGCGAACCGCGACGGGCAGCAAGTTCCACCACGAGCCCTCAGTATGCGTGCATGTGCACCACACATCTAATCGAGTCCCATGGAACACGAAGCTTAATTTTTCTAGGGAAAAAAAAAAACAAGTTCCGACATTCTTTTTCTATATATCACCGTGTCACCTTCAATAATCCTTGGGGTACACACCTTCCCCTCTGGAGGACCACTTTTCTAAAAAGTCAAGAAATGATGACAATAAAATACCATCACTTTGGAAATGATCTGTTATTCTTATCGTTGACATTTCTATCAGAATAAAGAAATTTAAAACCGTCTCAACTCTGAGGCAGGAATTAAAGTATCCAAATTAAGAGGCAAGATGCTATGACGGCGCCCTTGGTCTCAAGTACAGGAGCCCCTCTAGAATCTCCTTCAGCACTGAAGAATTAATCTTATTTAAGAATCAGAAGTTAGGGGGCGCCTGGGTGGCTCAGTGGGTTAAGCCTCTGCCTTTGGCTCACGTTCATGATCCCAGGGTCCTGGGATCGAGCCCCAAATCCTGCTCTCCCCCCCCCACCCCCGCCTTCCTCTCTGCCTACTTGTGATCTGTCTGTCAAATAAATAAATAAATAAATCTTAAAAAAAAAAATCAGAAGTTAGGGACCAAACTTGACCCAAACATAAATTGCCTTCTTCATGCACTACATTCCCAACAATCCACTGCTTTTACCTTGATGAACTGCCATGTAAAATCCAGTCCAGAGCAAACCAATCTCAGCCTGGAAGAGCTGATGAGCTCACTGTCCCAGGTAGCTGGGGGAGTTTAATTAGATTAGCTCTACTGCCTACACTCTAAAAATAACCCTAACCCCTGCCAAACTGAAGGTTAAAGAGTAAACTATTGGGGGATGGGAAAAAAAATATCCAGGTGTCATTTTAATTTCTACCCAAGAAATTCCAATGACCTAGATATCTCTCACATTAAAAAAAAGGCTTTAAATTTTTAACCAAATATATGATAAATTATTAACTAAAAACCAAGCAAAGGGGCAGTTAATACAGTGTATAAAAGTATTTTGTGGAAGAGGTACCAAACATCTCTTGTTTAAAACCACTGGGGGGGGGTTTCTTTTCTCAATATTGAGGAAAGATTTGTGTAAGAGACCACATATACCAGAACAGCAGGACATCCAAATGCAAAAAAGAAAAAAAAGAAAAAGGAAAAAAAGGCAAGAAAAAACCCACAAAGAAAACTTTCCTCCTATGTTGTACAATATACAAAAACTAACTCAAAATGGATCATAGACCTAAACATAAAAGCTCAAACAATAGGGATGCCTGGGTGGCTCTGTGGGTTAAAGCCTCTGCCTTCAGCTCAGGTCATGATCCCGGGGTCCTGGGATCGAGCCCCACATTGGGCTCCCTGCTCAGCAGGGAACTGCTTCCCCCTCTGTCTCTGCCTGCCTCTCTGCCTACTTGTGATCTCTGTCAAATAATAAATAAAATCTTTAAAAAATAAAAAAATAAAAAATAAAAAAAAAAGCTCAAACAATATAACTTCCAGAAGAAAACAAAGAAGATAATGCTTGTGACACAGGTTAGGCAAATATTTAAGACAATGACTCAAAACAAAACAAAACAAGCCCCCCACAAGCTGTGAAAGAAAAAATTAAACTGGACTTGCCAAATTAAAAATTTATTCTTCAAGAGACACCACTAAGAAAATGAAAAAACAAGCCAGGAACTGGAAGAAAATATCTGCAAAAGATGGTTTCCTACAGGGCAGCAGCCAAAATCTACTTCTCACAGCTAAATAACGGTCACCTGAGAAGAGGCTAGACATCCCTCAGCCATGAGGGAAATACAAACTAAAACTACAATAAGCCTCTACACACCTATTAGAATGGCTAAAATTTATTAAAATAATAATAACGAAAGCTTCCTTTATCAAGTGCTAACAAGGAAGGGAGCAACTCAAGTCCCACACGCTGCTGGCAAAAATGCAAAATGGCAGTCACTTTGGAAAATAGTCTGGAAGTTTTTTACAGTCAACCTTACCATACAACCCGGGAATCCCACTCAGGTACGTACTCAAAAAAAAAAAAAAGAAAGAAAAGAAAATACATGTTCACCCAGAAACCTACAGGTGAATGTTTTCTTTAGTGGCTTTACTTAGGTTCACCAAAAACCAGGAACAATCAAATATTCTCCAACCATGTCATAGACAATACGTAAGTTGTGATCCATCTACCAAGCGACAAAAAGCAGTGACTTAGTAAAACACAGCAATGCAGATGGGTGGCAGGTATGTCACACTCTGTCACAGAAGCGAGCCCCCTACAGCGACGTGGTATGATTCTATTCACGGACATGCTAAGCAAAATAAACGATACGGACAAACAGAAGAGCGGTTGCCGGGGATGCGGGAAGAGAACGGACCGCGAACAGGCATGAGGAAACCTCTGGAAGTGATGAACTGTTCTATGCCTCCACCTTGGTGGTGTCGTGTGACTGTGTGTTTGTCAGAATCTACGAAATGAGTCACTGAAAAAA